CAATTACTGGTCGAGTTCATCAAAATCATGAAGCTTGATGTGTCGCATGACGGATTGACGGGTTTATATACTAATTGAAAATTGGCCACTTCCCCGAGGGCACCGGAACATATCCTAGAAGACCAATGTGACCGTGGACTCTCAATAAGGCCATTACCGGCTCAGTTTTGAAAAAAACAATAAGTTTGATGTGTTGCACGACATGTTTTGGTTCATGTCGAAAATGCATCACTTCCCCGGGGGTATCAGAACATGCCCGGGAGGGCGAGTGTTACAGTGAACTATCAACAAGACCATTACCGGCATTGTTTTGAAAAATCATGAAGTTAGATTTATCGCACAACGGAGGCACTGGAACATGCCCGGGAGGGCTAGTGTGATTGTGGACTATCAATAAGGTCATTACCGGCCAAGGTTTGTAAAATCATGAATTTTTATATGTCGTAAAACGGGTTTTGGTTCTCGTTGAGAATTGGCCAATTTTCCGGGGACACCGGAACATGCCTGGAAGGGCTAGTTAATAAGTCCATTACCGATAAAGTGTTGTACAACCATGTAGTTTGATATGTCCTGCGACAGGTTTTGATTCTTGTTGAGAATTGGCCACTTCCCCGGGGGAACCTGAACCTGTCCGAGATGCCCAGGGTTATCATGGATCATCGGTATAGCCACCATTTATCCAATTACATCATTTGCGTGAGAAAATATTATGTTCACCGTGTGAATAATTATTGCAGAACAGTAAAGCCGAATGCCGTCCCAGAGTGACCCCAACGAAAACTAAAATAAATAAGGAACCATGTATTGATCGATGTATTCTAAAACTTGAATAGATTACCAGCATAATGCAAATTATTTTGCACAAAAAGATCGAGAAATGATGTGTTTAGAGCAAATTGAATTTTGTAATCGAAGCAAATTTAGACGTTAGGCACGCCGAGTTAACATATTCAGACTTTCCTAAACTTCTAAAGCTCTGATCTTAATATAAAATTTCTAAGAAGACCTAAGCATCACTAGCATCAAAGACCTAACCTCTGATCTTCGGTGGAGCTTTCAAAAATGTTATGATTTTTTTACATCTCTGAAGTTTTCAGGGCTACTTTAGAATTCGGGAGTATCTCAAAATTCTCTAATATTTTTCTGCAATTGATGGAACTACAATCAGCTTCCCTGCAGTTCACCAAACTCTAGAAACTACCCTGAAACTTACGCAACTTCTTTGAAAATGTCCCCGCATTTTTTTAAGTACATGACGATTTTGGAGTTTTCCTTAAGTTTTTGGAGTTTACCTGAAGCTCTCGCAATTTCCCTGAAGTTCTTGGATCTTCCCTTAAAATTTTCTGAACTTCTATCAAGCTTCCGACGTTCTATGGACGTGTACTCGAAAATTTCCTGAAAATTCTTTGAATTTCGCTCAAATTTACTGTACTTCTTTTCCTGTAATTGGCTTTTTTTAATTTTGAATAATTTATCGGTTTTTATGCACCCTCTCAAAGAGCTTCGTTTTCTTGGCACAACGATTTGTTTTCGAACCCATACTCTTTCATCTCGATTATTAAATCAAGATTTCAAGCAAAATAATAACTTCACTGTTTGCCACTAAACTAAAAAAAAAATGACAGCTCGCTCCCATACAAAGTCCCATTGAGGGGCACTAAGATGGTGATTTTTGAAAATGTAATAGCACTTTTTTAAATTCTTCCAGTCCAGTTCCAAAGGACCAACATTTATGAAATTTTTGATTTCGGTTCCATTGTTAATGCAGATTACGAATATACATGTACATCAATACCCTTAAAAAAACCAAATTGAAGCGAAATACAGTCAACTCTTCATACCTCGATATTGAAGGGAACATCGAGTTAAAGAATAATACCGAAATATTTCATTTACTGGAATATCTGGAATATATGAGGTAATACATATGAATTCGAAAAATCTTTGAATTATCCCTCTATGAATGTTCTGAGTGGTTAATTTATAAAATTAAGCTGATATAAACACAACACACATTAGTGCTGCTAGTTCTTGAAATTTAATTTGTCATGATATCAAAGGTTCTGGTCAGTTCTGGATGTTGCTCTATTCCCGAAAAAAAAATAATTATAATAAAACAACGAAATTGCAATGATTTTTACAGTTGAATTTTGAGTACATTAAAATTTATTGTTAGATTATTGTACGAGAGAAAAAAAAATAGATTTCGATTTTTAGCGATACAATGCTCAAACAACGAAAATTAGTGTGATGAGATCAAATTTGTTTGAGAAAAATCCCTTTTTAATCTGAAAATCGTTAACTTCGCGTATGAAGTAACATAAAAACACTTTGAATGTAACAACTCAAGGCGGGAGTAGCCGTCAACAATGCTGATGATGGTACAACACGCAACAATCACCCTACTGCTTTCTCTCTGAGATGATCACGTTGGTCATGACGAGAGGAGCAACACAATAGTTGGGTAAAGAAGAACTGCATTATAACATACCATCGACTGGAAATTCTCTCGCAACGTGGGGCTTTAGGTAGTGTTGAAAACGTCGCTAGAACTATTCCACAGCCGCAGTCAGTTTATGAGCAAAAAGAGGGACGCACATTTTTGCCTGGGGACTTGGAGACATACTTCAAGTCCCCGCGTACATCGTACGGGTTAGGCAAAAATGTGCGTCAACTTCTATTCAATTTTCATACTGCCGTACTCTAACGGAACTATCCACCTACCCTCTTCTAAAGATCATTCTCTAGCTAATAAATCATCACACTAAAGCTTCATGTTAGCATTTCCAACCAACTCTGAATATTGTTAAGATGTTTAACAACCCCTCTTTTTCACAGTAAATTTCCTCAAATACCATGATTTTCATTGTTGTGAACCACGAATTTCATTGTGATTTTATGCTAATGGACAAAAACGTCCAATGTTTTGACAGTTAATATCATGGTTACAATGATAATCTTTGTATTTTTATTACTTTGACTATATGTTTTAGTATTACTTCTACGTGAAGTCAACGATTTCACACTGCCGTACTCTAACGGAACTATCAACTCTATGCTTTCATCTACTCCATCTATCGTATAAAAATTACCACTACAGTCTGTTATTTGAAATTAGCATCTTCAACTATTTTTATTATATTTTTTACGGGTTGCCCTGAGTATGTCCGGCCATTAAATCGAAACCGAAAATGGCCGAATTCCGACACTAGGTTTGTTGCTCCTAGTGCACAATTATGTCATTTTTCATAGAATTCGGAGAGGGAAAAAGAAAGATAGATTCGTCCGGATGGAATCCCCAACGTGATTTCGGAAACGGCGATCCAGGCGTTCCCGGACATGATCAGGGTGCTGCTGCAGAAATGTTTAGATGAAGGTAACTTCCCAGACAGATGTGGTCAGTCCTACGGGTTTGTCCGTAGATCTACTACTACTAAATTTGCTACGGATCTACGGACCGCTCATAAAACTCTACGGATTTTCCAGATTTTTTGGGATTTCTTGAAAAATGTCGAAAAATTTAAGTTTTTGAATGACTGTTTTTGGAAGAAAAAAAAAATTATTAAATTTAGCAATAATTAGCAAATGCACTAGAATCAAATACACCTATCTACGATCGTACGCCATGAAAAGTTAACAACACTGGATAGAGGTTACTGAAAACAGTATTGCTGCCAAAACCAGGAATACCTAAGGTTGATCCAGAATCTTACAGGACTATATGCTTTCTGGATACACTTGTAAAACCTCAAAGGTCTGTTGAAATTTACGAGCAGGGGTTGTCAAAGATGCAGTTCGGATTTCGGAAAGAAATATCTACGGTGGACGCAATCTGGACAAATCATACCAAAATACTTGGTATGGCAGGTGATTTGCACCTGTGCGTGGGCTGAAAAGCGAAATTTTCGTTATAACTGGCATTGTGTTTTCAAAAACGATTGTTGTCTTTTTTGAAGAAACACAGTTGTTTCGTGCTGTTTTGGCCAGACCTCGCTTGCGTCACTACGGAAAAATGACTCAGGAACGGTTTACCGCCAACAACGCGCAAGTCGTACCCAAGGACAAAAACCCTCCAAACTCGCTGGAGCTGCACCTAATTGAAAAATATTAGGCAATCGTTAAGCGTAACCTCAAGAAAACTCGGAAAACAGTTGGAAATGAGAAACAGTTCAACGCAAATTGACGTTCAGCATCAAATAAGGATGGTACAACAGCGGTACAATCTGATGGAAGGTGTGAAACGGAAAGCCTGACTTTTCACATTTGGAAAATCGGAAGCCTAATCAAATAATTTTCCTGTATTTTTTAGTAATTGAACTTCAAAAAGAAAAAAGATTGGTCATTTATACTATAACATAATCAGTGTGCACTTTATCATGATTGTCCAATTTTTGACCGTTCCAACCTTTACTACGGTCTGAGTACTAAATACTGGCATATAAAGCTTAAAATGGGAAAGCTCCAAACGGTTGGATTCCCATCAAAAACTTATTACATTTCTTATCAAATATGAGCCAACTTAAAAAAAAATGAGTAAGCTCAAACCTGGGATGATTTAGGAAATGATGAGTGAAAACACTGGTTTCAAACAAACTGTCGAAAGACATACGATACAAATTGGGCAATTGCAGAGATAGTGACGGCATTTCATCCAGGGTATCTGCTTTACTAGGATGACTTTTTCTAAGCCAATGATAGACACACTCTCTCTCTCTCTCTCTTGACAGTGTTGTTAGAAGCAATCTGATTATGAAATTTCCACCCACGCAGGATAGAGTAAATTTGGATTATCAAAGCACAGTAAAGGCCACTTGACCTGCACCTAGTCTTAACTGCTAACTTTTTACGACTTCGTCTGGTACAAGCACGGTGTGTGGGTGGTGTTGCCGGTAATGACGCTAACTGGTTATAAATGGTCTAATACGATGACAACACCAAAAATACTAGGAAGTAACACAAGAACTAACAAAGGCGTTTGCCTTCCTCTATTAAACACTTACATTGGGTAACTGTTGCCAGCCGTCGGACAGAACAGCTGATGATACTTCTTAACACAAGGAACACCTTTGATCACATCTCCCCGCACGTTGAGACCAAGCGCTACCGATAGGGCCGTCCACCAGATCTGCAAAATAAAGAAGAAGAAGCATTATTATTATTATTATTTTTTTGGATTTGTTTTCCGTGCTGAGCACCAATGCCAACGACGCCAGGGAGGCAGCTCCCACACCTGGACCCTACCTATCGACCCATCAACTTATGAACCGGGACCGACGGCGAAGGAAGGCGTGATATGATCAGAGATGTTATGCCTCAGAACATCCCAGCGGCGCCGACTGGGATTGAACCCAGGCCTGCTGGGGTGAGAAGTAATCACGCTTACCACTACACCACCGGCGCCGCTAAGAAGAAGCATAAGAAATAATAAGAAATAAGCATTGACCGTCTGATCGGTGAAAAAGCGTGAGTAGATGATACAGTAATGACCCGATTTGGCAGCCCCCGTTTTGAAAATATTTTCTCTTGTTATTCGAAACCCATGCGCTTTTTCAGTGATCTTATTGCACCAAAGTAAATCTTAAACATCAATTTTGGAGGGGAATGAGAAAGATGTATAATTACGGTTCAGCGGAATTATTGAGAGGTAAAAATCTGATGCGCGGAGGGGTTGATAACATCGGGGCATTACTGTATAAGGAACGCTCGCAAAAGTCAACAGACGATCAGAGTGGAGAGACTCGTTCGGTTCGATTGACTTTAATCCTGATTGAAATTCAAATCATCAGAGCGTTGACTCATCTTCGAGTCTTGGAGGGCGGCATGTTTATTCAATTCATTGAAAATGTTAAAATAAACCTTTTCGATGAGAAAGTCATCTCACGTAGTTTCTCGGCGTGACAGTTTATGAGAAAATAAATTGCGTCGGGACTTTGCTTTTGCACGTCTGCTAATGTCACATTCAAGTCACGCGAATGGGTCTTTACGACGACCCTAAATTCGTACCTTATTGCTTTGAGCAAAACTTAAACATTTCATTGAGAGGTTTCCACACAAAAATCATGTGTTAAAAATTCAGACTAACTCAACCAGGTGGCTCGGACAAGTGTCCAGCAGGCTTGTCTACAAATCTGCACTCCCTTCTTAAAATGCTCACCTTGTGCAACACATTTGCGGCACCACGGGAAAGCATAGAAACGGTTGACAAATTGATTTATTTGGTCATTTTTGCAATTCAGTAAACAGCTCCGATAGCGGATTAGAATAGAGAAAAACCCAATCGTGATACCATTCATGCATTGCGTTGCTTAAGCACCAGGCATACGAGTGTTTCAGTTCCCAGCACGCAATAGAACACAGGCTATGTACTGGAGCAGCCGAGACATAGCAGTTGGTTCGGTAGCAGCTAGCCTTGTCCTTACCTTAGCGCACATACCGTCTGCTCCTGCCATAAATACGATAAATACGATAAATTAATTTACATTTTAATAACATGCCGCTCGTTGATTCACCGATTCCATTGGGTACCCAGGTAACTCGAGTGACAATGGACAAGAAGGTATCTCTATAGGTTCGAATGAAAAGTTCGTTGCGACTCCATACACAGGTGGGGTGTGGTTTTATTAGCCTATTCAATATGGCCGAGACGGCACGGGATGCAGCAGTGGTCGCCCGGTGGTGGTGGCGAGGTTTAATATGTATCAGATCAGATTGTTGTGTTTGCACTTAATCTTGAAATTATCGAACCAGCATGGGAACCGGTTTATTACCGACATATGAGCAAGCGCTCAGATCGTGACCAATGGATACTTAAAGGGTTATTTTGCTCTGTACGGGCCGGTCCGAATCGGAATGAGAAAGGCCCACCAAGCGACACTTTTGTTGATTTTACAATGAGTTCTGCTAAACGAAAACCGATAAGATGAAATGACAAAAAGGAATTCGTTCATTTGGGTACTCCAATGACCTTTGATCAAACTACAACATCAAAAATTCGACGCTTCATTTGCCAGCTGTAGAAACTACATTTCACCTGACCAACATGATCTCCACCCCAAAACGTTCGGTCTCAACAAGCCTCGCTCCTTTCATTTCCCCAAGCCTACAGAATATGGAAGCAGGAGCACAGGTGGACGTCATATACACGGATCTCAAGGCTGCTTTCGACCGGGTTGATCATGCCATTCTACTAGCCAAACTCGAGAAGCTCGGTGTCTCTCAAGGAGTCACTCGTTGGTTTGAATCGAGATCTTTGTGTGAAAATCGGGTCTGATCAATCGGAATTATTTTTCAAACAACTCAGGCGTTCCTCAAGGCAGCAATTTGGGACCGCTGAAATTCTCGATATTCATTAACAAAATGCAGACGATGTCAAGATGTACGTGTGGTGCTCTAGGATTTTTTCACGCTGAGTGTTCAAAAATGCAATATCATCACTTTCCATCACAAGCTAAAACCTATTGCGTTCAATTATACGATCGATAACCAACCTCTGCATCGTGTGGACAACGTTCGTGATCTAGGAATTGCACTTGATTCTGCTTTGACATTTGAACTACATTACACGGATATCATAGCCAAAGCTAACAGGCAACTCAGATTCATCACTAAGATCTCTGATGAGTTTCGGGATCCTACCTGCCTGACAGCTCTATATTGCTCTCTAGTGCGATCGATCTTGGAATTTGGTGTACTAGTATTGTGGCTCTATGAAACAGATCGGATAACAAGGATCGAGTTTGTTGAGGGGAAATTCGTTTGTTACGCCACCTTCCTTGGAATGATCAAACGAACCTTCCACCCTAAGAAGATCTTTGCCTACTCCTGGGTATTGAAACTCTTGAACGTAGGCGGAACATTAACCAGGCAGTTTTTGCAGCAAAAGTGCTGATAAGCGAAATCGACTCTCCGAGGAGCTAATTTCGGATTACATGATGCAATATTGCCTGCACGTTTCAATGAATTCTATGCTTTTCTCGACTTCAACTGCACAGCGGAAACCTTTCGTCACCGGATTGAACGTAGCCTACTGAATAGGTGACGACACATGCAACTGCTTTCGATCAGCAAGTTGTTGCAAGACGGTGAGTAGATGTCCTCTCAATGTACATCAGATTAATGTTTGATGTGCGATGACGGCCTCGACTTGACTGTTCCAAGGACAACTCCATGCCATAGGACGAGATTATTTCTGATGTTGAAGACCATATTATTATTGTAGTGTCTCTACAGGTCCTGACTCGGTAGGGTATCCGATGATCCGACGTCTGCCTGTATCCGTAGTGGCGTTTACCCTATCAGCTGGCGAACTATTATAGTGCCGATTCCGAAGCCAAACTGTTCTGAATCTGGACCTGCTGCTTTCCGGCCTATCACTTTGACCAACTGTATCAAAAGGTGTTCGAACGTATCGTGAACCGCAGATATACGACTGAGTTGGAGTAGAATGGACGAGCTGGGAGAGGCGTCGATACATACTTGGCGGAGTTGGATAGGTCATTGCCAAATCGGGTCAAACACTGCTTGATTGCATCGCTTGATCTGTCGAAAGCGTACGACACCACTTGGCGGTGCGGTATCTTGCATACTCTGCGTAAGTGGCAGATGGCTGAGCGCATGTTCAACGTACTGAACAGTTTCCTCACCGACAGATCTTTCCGAATGAACGTGGAAGAACATTTATCGGGTGAAATACCATTCGAGAACGGAGTCCCCCAAGGGTCAGTGCTGTCTGTCACGTTATTCCTTATAGCGATGCAGCCAATTTTCAGAGTGGTACCGCATACTGTTGCCGTGCTTCTCTATGCGGACGATATTTTGCTGGTGGTACGGAGGAGTAAGGATCGTCCTCTGTATATAGATCTACATGCTGCAGTGAAAGCTGTTGACAAATGGGCGAAAAGCGACGGCTTCACAATTTCCGCGACAAAATCAAGAATTTTCTACGGCAGTCCCAACGCCCGTCGAGAACCCAGCAACGATACATTCATCGACCGTACAGCTGTACCGAGGACGAATCAACTGAAAGTTGTTGGCGTCAACCTTGACCGGTCGCTGTCCTTCAAACAGCATTGTAAGATAGACAAAACCACGTGCGACTCTACACACTTAGATTTTTTCGCCGAGATAGGCACCACCGAGCAGCTCGGCATTTTATTTTGCTGGATCTCAGTGAAAAACTTTCCGAGATTCAGCTAACAAACGGGAATTTTGCCGAGATCTCAGCTAACAAACATATTTTTTGCTGAATTTCCAGCAAAATAAAATGCCGAGCTGCTCGGTGGTGCCCATCTCGGCAAAAAAATCTAAGTGTGTAGACTGCGGATCTTGAAGATGATCGGGGCTAAACTTCCGCGAGGGCAACGCGATTCTCTGTTGTGTATCGGATCAGCAATCGTCACGTCGTGACTTATCTACGATATCGGACTCGTCAGTAGAGCGAAGGAATCGGTGGTGCAGACTCTTGCACCCATCTACAACCGGATGGTCCGGTTCGCCTCATGGGCGTACGTCACCAGTCCGATTCCAGCGATTATGGCTGAAGCAGGCACTTTGCCGTTCGATTTAATGGTTATGCAAGCTATAATTCGTGCTGCAATTTGTTTGATGGAGAAGGATTCCAGAAATATCGATCTTCCAGTTGTGGAACGAGCGTCCGATTGTCTGACGATGATTGATGTAGAGCTTCCAAACATCACTGTACGGACACGTCTCACCAACCGAGAGTGGTATGAACCCAAACCGCATATTGTTTGGGATGTGAAACGGCAGGTGAAAGCTGGGGATCCCCCGAATACAGTGCGTCCCATCGTGCAGGAATTGCTGGCTAACCGGTTTAACCGTGCTTTAGCTATTTATACGGATGGTTCTAAATGCGAGAACATAGTTGGAGCGGGTTTATTTAGTAACAGCATTCAGCAAGCAATAGGTCTTCCGTCACAATGTAGCGTGTTTTCGGCGGAGGTCTTTGCAATCAAGTCGGCCGTCATCGCTGCAAGAGCATCCACCGAATGTGTTATCATTCTGTCTGATTCGGCCAGCTGTCTTTTGCCCATAGAGAGTGGAAGATCGCAGCATCCGTGGATCCAGGAAATCGAGCGCTTATTACGTGGACGGCCGATCCACTTT